ATTCTCTAATCCACCCCCTTCTACGGTTCTATAGCTTTCTTTCTTACAGTGGTCAATAAGAAAAATATGCAATACACAGAAATTCCACGAATCCCTTGGTAAACCACAAGAACAAGAAGTAGCTATTAAGATTATTTTTTCTCGATGCCTAAGCTGAACTTCCTCATTTCCTTTTATTCGATTACTATTTATATAAGGTAACAAGATGATAACGAAAAGGTAAGATAACAATTTGATATCCTTCCATGCCCGATTGGGCAGGATCTCAAGATTGTCAGCTAATCCATGATTCGGGTCATCCTATATTGCATTGCATCACTCATTTTATTACTTTCCAGCTTTCCCTTTCCTAGAGTAAACATTATCTTAATTAATCAATCATTCTTACACATTACATCAACTTTAATTTACTATTCATTCACTCACATAATTTTAACAAAACATCACTTCACATCATCTCTCTCCAACTTTTACATCAAATCAACTTTAATTATTTTATTTTAAATATTATGTTAATATAAACTCAAAATCTCATTAACAACTAATCATACCACATGTTTCAGGATTAACCATGGTTAACAAAAAAAGCCCATTCTGAGCGGATTTATTTTTATCCAAGAATGCCCTTAACTCACTATACAATAAAAATTAAGCAAGAATTAAACTAACTTCAACATCTGCAAAAAAAGATTAAGGACTTACGAAACAAAACCATTGTTGTCTATGTCGGCTGCAAGAAATTGGGCCACAGTCATATCTTGGCCGAGCACCCATTTCGCCATCATCCGATGACGCTTATCGACTCTTGCCTCGGCCAAGTACAGAAACGCCCTTGCAACCGCAAGTGTAGACACAAGCAACCAAATAGAAGCAAAAATTCGGCCGGTTAAGGAAGTGAAAGCCCTATCACCATATCCAACTGTAGTAACCGACATAACCGAAAGGTAGAAAGAATCGAGCCAATCCAAGCTCTCGATAAAATGCATAACTGCAGCCCCAATGCCAATACAGAGAACAACAACACCCAAAGCTAAAGCAACTTTCATTCGAATCCTCATCCTACCTTTCTTCACATCAAATATATAAGAACCCGGGTCACGAGCACTCTTGATACTCCTCAACAGATAACTCTCTTGCAAGTCAAGCATGTAACTAACCATACCACTCAACAGAATATCGATAAAACCGAAACCCACAAGCACAAATGTGATGGAGAACAATTTGGTCACTTTAGAATTGGGAGTTATGTCGCCATACCCAATTGTACACATAGTCACAATGCAAAAATACAGAGCATCAACTACAGGGTGTGTTTGTCTTGCCTTGAAATGATCCCTATTCAGAGAGTATATAACCACACCAAGGCTCAAATAGATGATCAAGAGAATAATGCCTTGCCTCACAATAGACGTTTTAACGAGCTGGGGAGGCTTCGTTTTCGAAGAATGATCGATTTCGTTGATTGTGGCCATTGCAGGTGCCGTTTTGGATCTGTGGAGATTGCTCTTGGAGAGTGTGTAATTGGGATCGACCAGCCAAGAGGTTTGGCTATCCGGGTCGATATTAATCGGCCCATCGTTTATATTGGCAGCTGAACATCTGGGCGACATGCGGGTTAGGGTTAGGGCTTCGAGGAGATTGGTGGAGGAATCTTTGAGGTGGGACGAGGATGAAGATGAAGGGGAGCCGAATATCAGCATGTCCTTGAATTCTCTGGAGGTGGGGGTGAGGGGAAGGGGCGGAATGGTAATTTCGTCATCTTCTGGGAGAGGGCAGAGTGACGGAGGTGGAACCGACGGCGTTGTTTGGGGTTTTCTGTAGTAAGAGAGGAGTGGCTCTTTCTCCATGTCGGATTCAGACGGAGAAGACAAAAGGGCTTTCGCCGCCGTCGGGTTTTTTCGCCTGAGATAGTTAAAAGATTTTCCGGTGGCGGTGCGGTGGTGGTGATATCGTGCGCCGGGATTATCACGAGGCGGTTTTTCGGATTGTGGCGTCAGAGGTCAGTTGAGAAATGCGACGGTAGAGAAAAAAAAAAC